ACAGTCGGTCTGTGCAGCCCTAAGCCCACCAGGCACAGTACATCCTGGAGACCCCTGTGAAGCCCTCAACAGAGCCAGAGGATGGCCTAGTCTTGCTGCACAGAAAATAGATGTCAGTCCTTGCCCCAGAATGGCTTGTGCTCTAACTAGACTAATGTAAGGAGAGGGGCTTGGCACAAAGCAATGTTGGCTGCTTATGACTGTTTGCAGTGGTGAGGCAGATGAAGGTGTGTGTCCCAGCTGTGTGTGAGTCCCTCTGTCTGAGGAGGGGCTGTGGGAACCCAGCTGTGCCCACACCCAGCTGTGCTGGGTGTTGCTCAGTCCCCCCCTTTGCAGGAGCAGGGTGCTGCCCCTCCTGCCCCCGCCTCATCGAGGCCCTGATCAACAGCTATGACCGCGTGCGCGTCTCTGCCGACTGGGTGGGAGCGGTGCCAGCAGAGGTGGTGCAGGTGAGGGGGCCCTGCGTGCTGGCTGGGGGCTGCAGGAGGGCACCAGAGGGGCAGGACTGGGCTGGAGGAGACCTGCAGAGCACTGGGGTGATGCTGCTAGAGGACAGGGAGGTGCACCATACTAATTAAGGTAAGGGGGTGTCTGGTTCTGTCTCTGCTCCCAAGGTGAGACCCTCAGCTTTGTCTCCTCTTCTCTCTCTGTAGAAATACCCACGTTTCTACCAATCCCTCTTCTCCCTGGAGCACAGACCTCGCTCCTTGCAGCACCTGGCCCGCTGCACGCTCAGGACCTTCCTGGAGGGACGGTTGCTTCTGGTCCTGCCTCAGCTGCACCTGCCAAGTGCCCTGCATCGCTTCCTGCTGCTCGACTTCGAGGATGTTCTCTACTGAGGGCTGCAGTTCCAGCCATACCCTGCATTTCTGTGCAGATGTTCCATCCCTGCTGGAGCAGTTTGAGCCTTCCCAGCTCACTCCTGCCCCTCGCACACCTCCTCCCAGGCCATGTCAACCCCCTATGCCAAACGTGTTGCTGTGTCCATTCCTCGTGCCCTGCCTGGTGCACCTGTTCTGGAGCATTCTGTCTACCTGTGCTAACCAGAACAAACTCCAGCCTCACTAAGAATGTGGGGACTCACTCACAGGATATGGGGACTAGGGCATTTTGTGGGACGAGGAGCACTTACACCGCATTGGTCAGTTTTAGTTGTAGAGTATCAGCCTCCCAAATTACAAACTTGACCCTGAACCAGGCAGCTCTGGTGCCCTGAATATTTTTTGGGACTCTGTCTTTAGTCTAGTTGTTTACAGTTTGTAACAGCTGTTTGAAATAAACTCTAGTCTTTCTCTATACCCACCAGTGTACAATTTCTGCCTTGAAACCTGTCCTGACAGCTCATTCATGGGACTTGCCCTGCACAGTGACACATGCTCTCTTGGCCCGGCCAGCCCCTACCAGAGCACCGTGCAGGTTCACATGCTGCTGCTGCCCGGGCTGCCCCATGCTCTAGACAAGGTAAAGGGTAATGTTTGTTCTTGCCATTTAAAGACATAGTTGTGAAGGGCTCAAGCAGTAACCATCCTGTAGAGCTTTGCTGTCAGCTAAAGCCATTCCT